AAACTTGGATATACGCAAACGACAGTCGCATCCCTCAGTATTCCCTTTGAGCCAATTTCCTCTGAGTCAACTGTGACGCTTACCTTACCATGTACTATTAGTGAAGCCTGTCTCACCATAACGCCCTCTCTACCCCCTCCCCCTCCCCCCATCTTAACCAAGTAAAGCCAACTAGTGCTGATGTGTGAATTGCGCACATTGTCCAAAAAGGTACTGGGTTGCTAGTTGCTAGCTGGTGCGCTGAGGGACAATTTCCACTGCTAACAATAAGTCTGATTTGTTATATATCCCTTTGCTAGGAAGTGCTCTCCAATTGGTGGAATTGGACCGAATTTCATTTTTGGTTTCCCTTTCAATGTTGAGACTTTCGGTTAAAGGTGACCACTGCTAGGGAATGCCTGTCATTACGGCGTCCAGGATTATCCGTGGAACTTCTCATTTCAGGGAAGCATCCCCTTTAATTAGAATTTGCCCATTCGAGCATAGAATAAGGTAGACAATTCATTTAAATGTCCTCCAGAAAGATTGGCAGAATGTTCCAGAAGCACCTGCCCACCATCTACATTTTCTTCTCATCGGAAGTAAATTTTTTTAGAGCGAAGCCCACCATCACTCCTTGGTCACAAGGCTCTCAGAATTACGTGATGACTGTCGCTTTCGTGATGTGACGCTGGTCGCTGAGGTAGGCACCGAAATTTGATGATTGAGTATACCTAGATGTCAGAATTTCCAGGGAGTGCGAATCAGTGCCCATCGAGTCGTGCTCGCCGCCTATTCAGACTACTTCAAGGCCATGTTCACCAGTGAAATGCGCGAATCTCGGCAGCGTACGTTCACAACTTGTGGTGTGGGTTGCTAGGCGAGTTCTTGTAATTTTTCTTTTAGAAGAAATAGAAATGTTCGATGTCGAAGCGCCAGCGCTTGATGCACTGATTAATTTCTGCTATTGTGGCGAGATACAAATTGACGGCATCAGTGTCCCGAGCATACTGCACGCGGCTTGCCTACTTCAGTTGAACGAAGTCAAGGTCGGGTTTTTTTGTCTACAAAAGTTCAATGTGTTCAGAAGCTCCATATAAATGATTATATACCCGTTTTATTGAATTCTTAGGAGGCCTGTTGTGATTTTCTAAGGAGGCACTTGCGCCCCTCGAAATGCCTTGAAATTCGAGCGTTTGCCGATAATCATTCATGCCATGAGCTTGTTCGCTGCGCTGATGAATATATCTTGAAGGTTTTTCAGGTATCTTGAAGGTTTTCAGGTAATCATTTCTTTCTAAAAGTGTTAGATGATATCTGACGCTTTTCTTCTTCAGGAGCTTATTGGCACTAAAGAGTTTCACCAGATTCCAGTAAATCAATTAATCCAATTGATATCGAGTGAAGGTCTTGTTGTACCTTCCGAAGAGCAGGTACTGTGCCAGTTTTGTGTATCCTTGTTCTCTTTCACGATTCTTTTTGCGTGTTTTTGTCTTCAAGTACGTTATCGACAAGAATGACTCCAGGTTTTCACTGCAGTACTTCAATGGGTTGAGTTCGACTTGTCATCTCGGAAACAGTTGCTGCCGAAGGTGATAGCGGGAAGTTTCTTCACATTCCGATCTCTATTTATCAGTTGCAGCTGTTAGAGCACGTACGATTTCCTCTTTGTCGGCCGGACTTCCTTGTCGATACAGTAAGTAAGAATGCGCTGGTGATGGCGGACGCCACCTGCCACAATATTGTCGACCAAGCAAAGGTTAGGGACAATTCTCAGAAGGCTACACTTGGCAGATCTGCCCTCAGATTTGTTAGGAGCACATATTCCCTTTGTTTTTNTTTTTTTTTTCTTCGAAACCGAAACACAAGATGAAAGTTTCAGTGATGTCTGGTTTTGGTTCTTATGCTCTTTTAGGGAGCAGATAATCCCTTCAGGGATAATTGGATGTGACGAAAGTGAAAGGAGGAAGGGGCGGGTGTATGTTTTGAAAGAGGCCACCAGTCTAAACGAGTTTTTGTCGTCATCGCAGTTTCTTCCGGCTTTCCGTTCTTTGGAAACAGTTGGTGATTCATTATCGAATTAGTAACTTTAGTGGGTGGAGATAGCGATAGAAGTGTCGAATGCCTGAATCTTGGAGGTGCTGATACTGTATGGCATTTGGTTACTCCTTTCAGCCAGGGAAGGTACAACATTACTTTGACATGTCCTTACGG